AATAACCAAAAAAGCTCCTGTTAAATCACTATGTATATTACTTGCTTATAGCATTCCAGCTCTAGAAGCGAGTCGGTCAACAAATCAAAATTTGACTAGATTTGGTTTTATCTATATCTGAATGCCATGAGACAAATACCAAAAACCATTGAAAATAGAAAATTCAACCAAAAAATACAGTCCAATACTAATTTATTCGGAATTTTAACAAATTACATTTAAGTTTTAACTAAATTTTATCAATAATCACATTCAACTCTGAACATCTAAGTTTCAACTAAATTTTATCAATAATCACATTCAACTCTGAACATGTGAGAAATCATATAATGAATTCACATTCAACTCTGAATTATGGATAGAAACAATGAATCCAAATCTGACTAATCGGATTCGAAATTAGAATAGATTTCTATGAAAATCTGGTCCATTGTCAAGCTCAACTAATGCCATTCTTAGCAGCNCTAATCGGATTCGAAATTAGAATAGATTTCTATGAAAATCTGGTCCATTGTCAAGCTAAACTAATGCTATTCTTAGCAGTAAAACTTGTACTCTTTTCCTTCGCACAATGCCATCTTTGTATGCTACCTCGGTCTTCCTTTGTGGTTGATGTGAACAAGCTATAATGAAATGAGTATTTATAGACCAACAAACATGATGGCTTCTGGTTGGTTTTCTTGACCTCCTAGCCGTTATCGCAAAAGATTGAAGCTTTCCAATGCAAAAGAAAGATGAATTTAGCAGAAGTTTGGTTACATTGGTGACAGGTGCATATATTTTTTGTGCAATAGGCTTGAGTTAAACATGCACAACAACATATAATAACAATTGTAGTTGTTGTTCTTGACAAGTAAGAGGTGGCCGGTTGAAGTCCATGGATTTGAATCCTCTCAATTTCACAATTTTTTGTACTTTTTAATTTAATCATCTACCATTAAATTATCTTAAGGTCTTGGGTGAGTAACGGTGGGTGACCCAAATTGGAAAAAGAGAGAAAGAGCGGGGGGGGGAAGAGGTATTAACCCTAGACCTTGAGCTTTAAAAGCCGGCACTATTGACCCTAAACCTTGAGCCTTCATTTGAATTGACTGTTAGGTTCCGTACTGCTAGAGGCTGCAAATTTGAAATGAAAGTACACAGTAAAGACTTAGATGATCACCATGAGTTCTAGTGAAGGGGTTCATTGTCTAGTACTATATATTATTTGACCACTAAGAGATAAAATCTCCACCTACGCATGCAAGATACAAGCATCCTAATCAAACCAGTATATTGAACTTGTTTCGGGTGGTCAAGTGTATTGGAATTCATGACAAAGTGGAACCTTCTGTTCTTCTTTCTGTTTTTGTTTTTGTTTTTATTTTTGTTTCGTTTTAAAATTTTACAATTTTATCGAGTTAAAACATATTACAAATAAGTGTCAATTAGGTTGATACTTATTTTTCTATTCAATAACAAAAGTAATAAATCCAAATATACACAAACTAAAAAATTAAAAACAAACACTAATACACGGTATACACCAAAACACACACACAATTATATACTAAAAACTATACAAAAATACACCAAAACACCAAAATAAAAAAAATGCATACGGATTAATACACCAAAATACATACACAATCTTTTTCTTTTGCTTTTTTGGTCAGGAAAGAAAATTCTATTGGCAGCATAAACTACTACTGCTATTACAAAGCCATTAACCAATTGCCTCCTCTCTCAGAAGTGCATACAGTAGTGTAGGTTGTTCATATACCCGTTGGGAGGGAGAGTTCCTCCTCGTGCCTTAGTTGCTACGGCATATGCTACTCTATGTGCGGATCTTCGAATTGCCTTGAACTGGCTTGCATATCGCCAAATGTACTGGATTGGTTCAACCTCTCTTAGTATTGCTCAAGCATCCTTTTCCAGGGAATCAATTAGAATTTGAGTCTGATTCTACTATGATTGTCTAATACCATTCCCACATCAAAAAATATTCACATATACATGCACACTAATACACACACATACTAATACAACAAAATATGCAGACACAGTTGCACATTAATATACTGAAACATACACACTAATACACTAAAATACACACACATACAAACTAAAAAAATAAATACAACAAAAACACTAATATACCAAAATACCTCGAGTCAGGTTTGGGTCCGAGTCCAAAGTCAATTCGGGTGAGTTTCGTGGTCAGATCTAGGCCGGTTCCATGTCCAGGGTTAGGTCTTGGGTTTGGGTCCCTGTTCGAGGTCAAATCTATGTTCGAGGTCAAGTCTAGGTCCAAGCTTAGGTTCGAGTCCAAGGCCAAGTCTTGGGTCTAGGTCCCAGTCGAGTCTGGGTCTGGGTCCAAGGTCGGGTTTGTGTCCAAAGTCGAGTTTGGGTCCAAGGTTAGGTCCGTGTTTGAAGTCAGGTTTGGGTTTGGGGTCAAATCGGTTCTAGAATCGGGCTTTGAGGTTCCGCATTGATTCTTGGGTTAGGTCTGAGTTAGGAGTCAAGTTTGGGTCTGAGGTCAAGGTCGAGGTCGGGGTCCAGGGTCGTGTTAAACCGTGTTATCAAAACCAGACCGGTTTAACCGCGACCCGAGACTTAGAATGGTCTAGTTCTGTAGTTATACCGCATAAGGCATCAAACTGCATAGGAACAGCTAAACCGGCAGGTTTTTTATCAGACCCGTGAACCAGACGGTTGGAATTTCACAGTCATCTTCCTTCCGCTTTCCCCTGTTACCCACCTTATCCACCACAATGATACAAGCACAAATTTTCTATTACTCACACCAATTACAGAGAATTAAGAGAGAGATAGAGATCGAGAATTAGAGACAGAGAAAGAGAGAGAGGGAGAGAGAAAAACAAAAATTTAGAACTTAGAACCCAATACCCAATTCAAAGCTAATCCTTCATCAAGAGCTTGATTGGAGCTTTCATTAGTTGTGCTTGATTGTCTATGTAGATTTATTGGAGCTTCTTTAGCTATGTATCAGAGAGCGAGAGAGGGAGAACTCGAGCTTGATTGCCCATGGAGGTCCCAAAAAATCAAGCCTTGCATCAACTGCGCTCTGTGTGTGTAAGGGTTTGAGAAAGGATTGGAACATGGATGTGTGTTAGTTAAAAAAAGACAGATGTGTTAAGTCTAACTAGTTGAATTGGAGAGAGAAGAAAAAGGGCAAAAAAAAAGGATAAGACTTATTTTTTGTGGTAAGGGAGAAGACATATGTTTGGTGTTTTTTTTAAGTGGACTTATAATGAGTGACAAACCTTAAGGAATGCAGATGCAATTTATACTATATTTTATAATTTTTTTTAGTTTTTTATTATATGACTTGTTCGACCAGTTCACTCAACGGTTGAATCAGTTAACCATTAATCCGATCCTCCTGTTTGTTCGATGACCGATCTGGTTCTGATAACATTGGTGTCAGGGTCCAACGTCTGGTCTGGGTTCAGGTTAAGGGTCTGGTCATGTCCAGGTCTGGGGTTAGATCTAGGTTTGACGTCTAGGCTCGAGGTCAGGTCTGGGGATCGGGTTCCAAGTTTGGGGTCGAGTTTAGAGTCAGGTTGTGGGTCAAGTCTGTGCCCGCGGTCACGTCCCAGCTTGGGCTCGGGTCTAGGTCCAAATCCAGGGTTAGATTTGGGTTTGGGTTTGGGTCTGGGTTTGGGTCTGGATCTGGGGTTTGGTCTAGATACGAGGTCCAGTTCGAATTTGGAGTCGGTCCAAGTTAAGGTCTAAGTTCGAGTCCCGTGTCGATATATCAAGACATGTCACCGGTATGAGAACGTACAAGATTTGCCTAACATGGGATAGTTGTAGGAACAATGCTAATCTTCCACCTACGCCATGTTAGTAAGTAGCCATCAAGTTTTATATATCCTAACCTGTTCATTTCATATAGTCGCTGCGTAAATTGATTATATGCTAATAAAATATTGACTGGGTTATTGTTCTAACACTCCACTGTACGTAAAAAATACAGGGTGCACGAAGTTAATACAAAATTATTTGGATATGATCTAATTTTAGCAATGATATATAGGCAAACTTCCGATGGTGCAAGCTGGATGGGCAGATATTCTTCCTTCTCAGCCTCTCTGTGTTTTGCTTTCTCTTGAGCTTGCTGATTGGCCCTGGCTGTGTGCCATGCTTGTTGATTGTGCACTCAATTTTTTTGCCTTGATGCTTGCTTGGCTGCTGTCCCATGTTGCTGCAATGCTTTTGTTCTCATGTTTGTCTCTTTAAATTGAGGATAAAATATTAGACAACTTAAAGCTGGAGTGCATGGTGACATCCTATATGTCTCAATAACAAACATCTCTAAAACGATCTGTCTCCAAATACTTCTGCTGTAAGCAATTCCGACATCATTAGAAATTGACAACCTCAGATCCTATGATTGCTAAACTTAGAGTAAACCAGAACTATCTTCGACATCGTAAATTGAGACTTAGTCTCCTAATAATTGCTTATGAAAAATATATTCATATTTCCACTTGTTCAAGATTTATATTTATATAATCAACATACCAAGACATAGGCAAGTTGTTGGGATATATTTGTCCAAGTGATGTGTCATGGTTTTATACCTAGAAATCAATCTTTCTAAAATAAAGATAAAATTATCTCTCATNTATAATCAACATACCAAGACATAGGCAAGTTGTTGGGATATATTTGTCCAAGTGATGCGTCATGGTTTTATACCTAGAAATCAATCTTTCTAAAATAAAGATAAAATTATCTCTCTGAAATAACTCTATAAGTGAGAGTCTTGTTCATTGGATACAAGATTCTTTATTGTTAAACTTCCAAAACACAATCTTGGTATTGCAGAATATTGCCTTTTGTGAATGACACACATGCACACACACACACACACACACACACACATATATATATATATATAAAGAGAGAGAGAGAGAGAGAGAGAGAGAGAAGCTGATGAAGGAACACTTTCATTGACAGTTATTAATCCATCTTATTTAATGATAAGTACAACACATGGAGACTATAAACTCCAATTATGTGGATTATTTCAAATATAACAACATGCTAAATAATCATCCATGAGTTTCACAACTTTCCGTCAATCTACCCAATTACAGGGGTCCTAATAACGATGCCATTCTTGTCAACCCAAACGTAAACATTATCACAGCGAAAAACTGTGAGGACGGATGTACCAGGCGGCACAATTGTTGCAGTAACAAAAGGATTCTCCTTTTCAATTGTTGCTGCGGCAATCTCTCCTTTCACTCCAACAAGCTCGGGCCATGAGCTCTTACCTAAATAGGCACAAAATGTTGTATTAGATCATCGTACTATATGCTTAGAATTGTCTACCATGTCGAATTTGGTATCCTACCAAAAAAATTACAAAAATTGTGATTCAATCAAGTCAAACTAAGACTCAATTGGATCAAAGTTATGATTCAATAAGGCTCAAAAAAGTTAGGACTTAGACCATAATAACGTTTATCCATTAGGGAAGTCCTCCAAAAAGGCATAGATGGGTGACTTGTAGGAACTCCCCAAGGATGACTAGATCCATAGTCAAACCCTAGTCTCACCAAACCATCAAAAAACAACTCAACAAACTATTTCCGTGTAACGAACTTGAGACATAAACCTTTTAGATTTCAAGAAAAATCCTTAAGCAGAGCCTAGACCGTAGAGATACATAGTAGTATGAAAAATGTTATTTGGACCTAAAAATTTAATATAATTTGCTGACCTAATAACGTGATTTCATTGAAACCATTAGATTAACATCAAGTTTCAATGTTTGATGAAATCTACAGTTAATCCAAAAGTTATAGTTAATTAGGTCAATAAATTATATCAGTAAATTAAATTTCAATAACATTGCTCTAATAATATTCTTAGCGAAAAACACTTGAACTACCTGATCCGCACTCTGATGACATCCTCGGTGTTGCTTTATTATTGTTATGCTGCTTCTCTTCCTTCGTGCTTGATGTTATTGTGCTCTAACGAAATAAGTATTTATAGGCCAATAACCTGATAGTTTCTGGCTGCTCTTTTTAGACTTTCTAGCCGTAATGTCAAAAGATTGAAGTTTTACGTGAAAGAGAAAAGTAGGGTTTAGCTCAACTTTGACTGCTCACCAATGACAGGCAGGCCCAAGAGATATGAATGCAACTGGCTTTCGTGCTCTATTTTCTGAGTTGTATTTCTATGCCTTCAATACCAAGAGTGTATCACTTTTCTTAACAGCCATCATTGGTACTATCTCTGTGAATCATGTTAGGTGAGATAAGTTTGTGTTAAAAAATATTTCACTCATACACGATTTATTTATTAATTCGTGTCTAATAAATTATATTATATCGGATTTCTGTCGTGTACGAAACGTATACAATTGATATATAAACGAGTCATGACGTGTATTTTTTTTTATTAGTTTAATTCTCACTGGATTTATTTATTAATCAGGTCGTATCAAGTCCATTAATTTATTAAACCGGCAATTGAAGGAAAACCCAAATCCTACAATTTTATGTTGTGTTCGTATCGTGTTAACGGACTATGTCATATTTTAAAATCCCTAATTAGTACCGACTGCTACCGACTCTGATACATTTGTTGGGAAACTAGGAAGCCCAATGATCTAAGGACTAATATATATGTCTAGAATTCATACCCACCTAAAAGTTTGAATTTCTATCTAATGTAAGATTCTCACACATTTAATACTCAACACATAGGATATGTGTATAGCGCTTAGTTTTGTTGATCATCCTTGAAGAGGGCTAAGAATGATATATTCTACCCTTCTCTCGGTGCTTTATTCAAACCTCTCTCTGATTGCTCTTTAGATGTTTTCTTTCCTAGTGGTACTACAAAATTAGTTGAAATAGGCTCACTGTTTGAATGTTTGCTCAACTACTCGTACTGTTGATTAATTAGATTGTAATAATATCGATTGAATTATAATCACCATTACATAAGAAAGAAATAGGGTGCACGTACATAGACATCTATGGACACAAGTATCAATGGCCGCACAATCATGTGGACATAGTTGTTGCAAAACTTACGACAATTTCAATGCCCAGCTAGTACCGTGGTAGGCTTGCATATGGCTGTTTCCTTCATCGTTACCATTGAAATTTGCTCTGTCCACTCGCTATCAGTGATATCTATTGTCAGTTATTGTATTTGATAAAAGAATTTCATGTGGTCAAGATTCACAATCACCCCACCATGAGCTTCACAAGATCTTCAAATTCGTGAAATAACATGATTGAATTTTGCTGTTAATTCAAATTCAAACAACCCAAATTCAACTTGTGAATTCACGCAATAACTATATAGTTACATATAAAAAAAAAATCGAATTAGTACACTCATAGCTCAAAACCGCCAAGAAAAGCGAAGATTAGTAATAACTTGGTCCATTTCGTGTGAAGACAAATGTTAATTCCTCTTAATCAATGAAACTGATTATCGAAGAAGGAAATTTATTATTGCCACTTATTAATCCACCTTATTTGATGCTAAGATACTAGGGGTGACAAATGGGTGGGTTGGGTTGGTTATGGTTTGGATTAAATTGGATTTGGCTAAAATAAATCAAATCTATTTTTCGCTCACCTAATAAATGGGTTATAATAGGTGGGTTTATAACGGGTTGGGTTAAACCGATTAACCCATAAAATAATTAAAATTCTTAATAGATACATTAGTACACCAAAACACACACACACACACACATTAGTAGTACACTAAAATACAAACATACACAAACAAACCAAAACACACACAAACTAATACATTAAAAATATACACACTAATACACCAAAAATACACACACATATACTAACACAAAAACTAAAGCATATTTAATAAAAAAAATAATACACACATAATGAGTCGTGGGTCAACCCATGGAAAATGAGTCGACTGTAGGCCATGGGTCGACCCGTGGATCATGGGTGCTGTATTAGTGTGTGTGTTTTTTGTGTACTAGTATGTGTATGTTTTGGTGTATTAGTGTATGTGTGTGTATTTTTGGGTATATTAGTATATTTATTTATTTTTATTACTTATGTTATTTATTAAAAAGATAAATACTCAACCCAATAGGTACCCATTTATAATTCATATTAACCCGTTTAATTTTAATTAATATAGGTACACAACCTATTTATAACCCGTATTAATTAATATAAGTATTCAATTCATTTATTTATGAGCGGATTGGACGGATTAATGGGTAATAGGTTAATATTGTCACCTTTATAAGTGTCACAGAATAACTTTCGTTTTTCTTTCGAAGCTACCTGTGAAGGCGTTCCTATTGCAACCAGCCACACACAAACTCAAGAATAAGGGATAGAAACTCACACAGAAGGCACACACGAATTTACTAGGACAAAGCTCCAAAACCTTATATATTAAACTCAACAATTTACAAGGAACTCTCAAAGGTAGAACACTTTCTCTCTATCAGAATGCTCAAGCACCCCTATTTATACAGGAGTAAGGCAGATGACACCCTCATCTACTAAGGGGTAGTTACACACATTTTTGCTATTCCATAGAATACTTGGCTAATAAGCTTGGTCTCTGTGCGACACCTGGCAGGCAGTTCCACCACTTTTAGTAATTGATGTGGAACTGTCCTTCACCAGCATGCATCTGGATTGAATTCAGACTAGAGACGTCCAGAACTGCCTCAGCAACTGTCTTGACTACGTCTCAGCATCTACAACTACCCACATCTTCCTGGTCACATGCATTGAGCGGCCATGTGCCAGTCATGTGCCCAAATTCAGCAGTCAGTCTTGCTTCACAAACCAATGTGCATGTTGGATTCAACTCATGCCAAGCAATCCGAAGCTATGCACCCACATTGCTTCAATTGAGCCCACCACGTGCTGCCATGCTCAACCGGGTGGTTTCATGCTGCCTTGGTTCGCCCCAATCTGTCGAACCACTTAGCCGCGTCACCTTGATTCTAATTTATGGCATGTCTTGGTGCAAGGTGCCACCACGACAGGCCATTTACACCCAAGTCAGTTAGGGTGTGACAAGCCACCACCACCTGAAGTATCCAATGATCTCGTTGGAATGGAGGCATGGTATTGCTTGATGAGATCCTTGAACTGCCACAATATCGTCTCTTTCTCCCAAGTGGCTTCCTCCGGTGTTTTCCCTTTCCACTTGACTAGGTAAGGAGCTCTTCTATTTTTCTTACCCATTCCCTTAGTCTTGTGGTCAAGGATAGCTTCAGCTATTACGGTGAATTACTTCCTGATTGTTGGAGGAGCCCGACGCCGAACGTATCTGGTAGGGTCCTCAATATAAGGCTTCAAGAAGGCAACATGAAAAACTGGATGAAACTTGAGACGACTGAGAAGATCCAGCCTATAGTCCAACATGTCAAGCCTCATTGTTATAAGAAAAGGGTTGTCATAGCGCTGGATTAGTCTCTTGTGTGCAGACTTTCGAGAGATCTTGTTCCAGATTGGTGGGGTCAATTTCAGCATCACTTTGTCACCCACTTCGAACTCTACTGCCCTCCTCTTCTCGTCTGCCCACTTTTTCATCCTCTTCACCGCCTTAGTAAAATAGTCTTTTGCCTCGTCAATCCGCTCCTGATTGGCCCGAGCAAAGCGATATGCTGCAGGACATCTCCCTTGAGACTTCTGCTTGACAACTTTATGCGGGGTAAAAGGCTATTAGCCAGTTGCCAACTCAAATGGGCTCATTCCAATGAAAGAGCTCTGTTGAAGGTTATAACTGAATTGGGCTATATCAAGTAAATCCACCCAATTGTCCTGGTTCGCTGTGACATAGTGTCTAAGATATTCCTCCAGCATTGCATTAACCCGCTCGGTCTGTCCATCTGTCTACGGATGATTGTTAGTGGAAAGGCTGAGCTGTGTGCCCAACAGTTCAAATAAAGCCGTCCAAAATCAGCCAGTAAATCGAGTGTCCCTGTCGCTGACTATATCCAGCGGAAGGCCCCAAAGCTTCACAATATGATTGATGAACAACTGAACAGTAACTTTCACCGTACATATTTTTGGGGGCAGCAATGAAAATGGCATACTTTGAAAATCTGTCTATNTTCACAATATGCTTGATGAACAACTGAACAGTAACTTTCACCGTACATATTTTTGGGGGCAGCAATGAAAATGGCATACTTCGAAAATCTGTCTACAACCACAAATATCGAAGTAAAATCATTCACCTGAAGCAAGCCATTAATGAAGTCCATAGAAACACTCTCCCAAGGTCTGCTTGGAATAGGGAGGGGTTCCAACGTACCCGCCACCTTCTTCCTTTCTGTCTTGTCTTGCTAGCACACCAAACAAGTGCGCACATACAACTCCACATCTGCTTCTATGTGAGGCCAATAATAGTTTTCTGCTAGCAAGGTAAGAGTCCGTTGCTGCCCTGAATGTTCTAACCACGGAGCATGAGTTTCTTTCAGCAACATCTGTCGAAGTCCGTCTGACATCGGAACATAGGGTCTCCTTCCTTTGGCGTAAAAAACATCATCCTCTACCCAAAATCATCGATTCACTCCTTCGTGAACCTGCTTCAACAATAAGCTGGTCACTGGATCATCTTTTGTCTGATCCTAAATTCTCTGCAGTATGTCTCCTGTAATCTGGCTAAGTGCAGCAACCGTCCCATCAGTAACTGGGATTTGACTAAGAGCATCAACAACTTGATTTGCACTGTCAGGCTTGTACTGCAACGTGAAATGAAACTAGGCAAGAAAGTCCTACTATCTTACTTGTTTTTGTGTTAGCTTCTTCATGGAATTGAAGCAGCTGGTAGCCACATTATCTGTCAGTACAAGGAAATGCTTCCCCAACAAGGAATGCCTCCATGCATTAATGCAGTGAATGACTGTTGTCATCTCCTTCTCATGTACTGAATACCGCCTCTCGGTATCATTCAACTTCCTACTTTCAAATGCCACCGGATGCCTATTCTGCACTAGCACCCCTCCAAGAGCAAAGTCTGATGCGTCTGTATGGACCTCAAAAGGCAAATCAAAGTCAGGTAACCGTAAAATTGGGTTAGATNACTCGTACCGTGAACTCTTACCTAAGTTGGCACAAACAGTCAGTTAGA